TAAAAAATAAAAGCAAAGAATATTTTTCCAGCTATTTTTAAGTCTGCAACAAAGGCATGTCTGGAGTCAGAGGAATGTTCGGTGGGATTGGGCTCACAAATTATCGTCGAGAGGGCAAAGGGGGCAAGGCAGCACAAACAAATTGTGAAGACCTCAAGAATTACACGTGCCCAGCAAAGAGCACCAATCCTGACGAGCCCTTGACCATATTCAGGTGAGGACCTTTCAAACTTGACCTCATCTGGATATCAGTACCTGATGCCAGTCCCCCCAAAAAGGCAATATCTGATGCACCAGGGCATGCTATCTGATGCGCCAGGGCATGCCTCTATCTGTGCAGAGATCATGTATCCCGCCTTACGACAATGCACTCGGTGAGTGATGTATCCCGCCTTACGACAACGCACTGAGCATGATATAATTTGTGCAGCCCTGGAATGCTGCAAGCTGTTGATAACTATCTCAACCAGCAGTCACCTTGATGAGCTCACTTTGGCCCCTCTCCTTCGCTCCTAGTATCTTTCTGTCCCTCGCTCGACATTGCGACTTGGTCCGCTGAACTCTGTTGATGACTATCTCAACCAGCGGCCAGTCACCTTGTTTAGCTCACTTTTGTCCCTCTCCCTTGCTCCTGGTATCTTTCTGCCCCTCGCTGCTACTGGTCCTGTTGAAAGGTGTGATATGTTCGTCATCTTGCTAGTCCCTCACTAATGCTGCATTAGATTGAGTTGTGGCGCAGATGGGGGATTTAGAACATGCCTTCTGCTTATGCTGATGCATGTTGCATGGCTTGTCTCAAGTAAATCTATCCCAAGGGCCAAGATGAAGTTTTCTCTCCTTACATTGCAAACAACCAAGCATGGCTTTTGACAGGTGAGCTGGCATTGCTTGTCTCAAGGAGAATTATTCCAAGGTGAAGGTTTCTCTCCTTACATTGCAAACAGCCCAACATGGCTTTTGATAGGTGTGATAATCTCGTCATCTGGCTAGCATCTCACTACTCGTGGTCACAAAAAGTAACGGGGCACGTGCTCGGACACACTCATGCACCTCACTCAACTTAGACAACAATTCTACATTTATGCATTAAGCTGGTAGGATATCCAGGAAAAAACTATATGTTCACATTAAGGGAATATGAGAGATATTATCTACCAAATTAGAATCGGGTATGGCCTCCTTTAGCTGCTAAAATGTCCTGCACACGCTCCTGCATAGTATCTATGTGTTTGTCTATATCGGAAATTGGCAGTGAGTCCCATGCATCCCTGACTGCATGGCAAAGCTCGTCTACAGATGTAGGGGGGTGTGGTAGAGCATGTAGGACCTTTTTTAGTTCATGCCAAATTGGCTCAATAGGATTTAAATCAGGGGATGATGGTGGGTGATATAGCAACAGAATGCCTGCGGTCGAAAACCAGTTCTGCATTGATTTACTGCAGTGACTTGCTGCTCCATCCTGTTGAAAATAGACCTTGCCCATCTCTCCAGTGACCTCAGCATGGAAAGAAGCCAAAACACCCTCAAGTACCTGGTCTTTGTATCATGCTGAGTTCATCCCTCCTCCCTTCCCTCCTGGATATTCCAAAACAATCAACGGCCCCTTTCTCACAAGTAGACATAGGTGTCCCTATAGTACCATAAAAGTACAAGCAAAATGTCCGGACCAATAACTCAATTGTCTACAGAACACCAGAAAAACAACCCTGGTGGTGGTATAAGTGTCCCGAAAAAAATGTGAAATGTCCGGAGCATTAGTTTCAATATACAGAGGACATCCAAAAAGCACTTGTATAAATGTTTTGGGAAAATGCCAAATGTCCGGACCAATAACTTGATTATCTACAGAACATCAGAAGAACAACACTGGTAGTGGTATAAGTGTCCCGAAAAAAATGCGAAATGTCCGGAGCATTCGTTTCAATATACAGAGGACATCCAAAAAGCACTCGTATAAATGTTTTGGGGAAATGCGAAATGACCAGACCAATAACTTGATTATCTACGGAACACCAGAAGAACAACCCTGGTAGCGGTATAAGTGTCCCGAAAAAATGCGAAATGTCCGGAGCATTAGTTTCAATATACAGAGGACATCCAAAAAGCACTCGCATAAATGTTTTGGGAAAATGCAAAATGTCCGGACCAATAACCTGATTATCTATGTAACATCAGAAGAACAATCCTGGTGGTGGTATAAGTGTCCTGAAAAAAATGCGAAATGTCCGGAGCATTAGTTTCAATATACAGAGGACATCCAAAAAGCACTCGCATCAATGTTTTGGGAAAATGCAAAATGTCCAGACCAATAACTTGATTATCTACGGAACACCAGAAGAACAACCCTGGTAGCGGTATAAGTGTCCCGAAAAAATGCGAAATGTCCGGAGCATTAGTTTCAATATACAAAGGACATCCAGAAAGCACTGGTATAAATGTTTTGGGGAAATGCGAAATGACCAGACCAATAACTTGATTATCTACGGAACACCAGAAGAACAACCCTGGTAGCGGTATAAGTGTCCCGAAAAAATGCGAAATGTCCGGAGCATTAGTTTCAATATACAGAGGACATCCAAAAAGCACTCGCATAAATGTTTTGGGAAAATGCAAAATGTCCGGACCAATAACCTGATTATCTATGTAACATCAGAAGAACAATCCTGGTGGTGGTATAAGTGTCCTGAAAAAAATGCGAAATGTCCGGAGCATTAGTTTCAATATACAGAGGACATCCAAAAAGCACTCGCATCAATGTTTTGGGAAAATGCAAAATGTCCAGACCAATAACTTGATTATCTACGGAACACCAGAAGAACAACCCTGGTAGCAGTATAAGTGTCCCGAAAAAATGCGAAATGTCCGGACCGATAACTTGATTATCTACAGAAAATCAGAAGAACAACCCTGGTAGTGGTATAAATGTCCCGAAAAAAATGCGAAATGTCCGGAGCATTAGTTTCAATATACAAAGGACATCCAAAAAGCCCTCGCATAATGGGACATCAGAAAAACAACCATGGTAGCCATGTAAATGTCCGAAGTAAATGTGAAATGTCCGAAGCATTGATTTGAATGCCCACAGGACATCCAAATAACACCCCTGGATGTCCCGGAACAATGCGAAATGTCTGGGGCATGACTTTTCTTACCCACAAGATGTCAAAAAAGCAACACTGGTGTCCATATAAATGTCCCAGAAATGTGAAATCTATGGAGCACTAGTTTTAACATCCATATGACATTAATAAAGCAACCCTGGTATTGATATAAATGTCCTGGGAGAATGCAAAATCTCCTGGGCAATAGTTTAAATACACTGGACCTCAAAAACAACTCTGGATGTCCCAAAAAAAATGCAAAATGTCTGGGGAATAACATTTAATATCCACAAGATGTCAGAAAAGCACACCTGGTGTCCATATAGGACGCTGGTTTCTAGTTAAATCTCCTGAGACAATGTGAGGGTCTTGAAATGAAGGGTATGATATTCTAGGACAGAAAACCTTCCTGTGTCAAGAAACATAAAGTGCCTATGAGCTTTTCCTAGGATGTGCATGAGCTATTCCCCCAATTTCTAGTACCCAAAAGCAATGTATAAAATCACTGAGATAATCAAGATATTAAGCATATAGGTCCTTATGCACTTTGCAGAAAATGCTGATGTTCTCTGACTTTGCGGAACTTGGTGATGTTCACTTGTAGATGAGGTCATTCAATGGCATTCAGTTTATACAATGGAACTTCAGACAATTGTGGACATGCAGAATGCTTTGCAGATGTCCCAATTAGTGTTCCATGCATTTCGCATTTTTTCGGAACATTTACATGGACATCCAGGGTGCCATTTGGATGTCCTGAATCAATGTTCGTGTGCTTTTTGCATGTCTCGTGTATATTCCAATTAACAGATGTCCCATATATATTCCAATTCATGTTCTGGAACATCCAAGGTGCTTTTTGGATGTCCTGTGTATAGTCCAATTAATGTTCCGGGCATTTCGCATTTTTTTCGCGACATTTATCCAGACATCCAGGATGTTTTTCAGATGTCCCATATGCATTCTAATTAATGTTCCAGGAATTTTGCATTTTTCCGGAACATTCATATGGACATCCAGGGTGCTTTTCAGATGTCCTGAATCAATGACCATGTGCTTTCTGGATGTCCTGCATATATTCCAAATAACATTCCGGGCATTTCGCATTTTTTTCGGAACATTTATGCAGGCATCCAGGATGTTTTTCGGATGTCCCATGTGTATTCTAATTAATGTTCCGGGCATTTCGCATTTTTCCGGAACATTTATGTGGACATTCAGGGTGCTTTTCAGATGTCCTGAATCAATGTTTGTGCACTTTCTGGATGTCCCGCATATATTCCAATAAATGTTCCAGGCATTTCGCATTTTTTTCGGAACATTTATGTGGGCATCCAGGATGTTTTCAGATGTCCCATGTGTATTCTAATTAATGTTCCGGGCATTTCGCATTTTTCCGGAACATTTATGTGGACACTCAGGGTGCTTTTCGGATGTCCTGAATCAATGTTTGTGCACTTTCTGGATGTCCCGCATATATTCCAATTAATGTTCCGGGCATTTCGCATTTTTTTCGGAACATTTATGCGGGCATCCAGGATGTTTTTTGGATGTCCCATGTGTATTCTAATTAATGTTCCGGGCATTTCGCATTTTTCCGGAACATTTATGTGGACATTCAGGGTGCTTTTCAGATGTCCTGAATCAATGTTTGTGCACTTTCTGGATGTCCCGCATATATTCCAAATAATGTTCCAGGCATTTCGCATTTTTTTCGGAACATTTATGTGGGCATCCAGGATGTTTTCTGGATGTCCCATGTGTATTCTAATTAATGTTCCGGGCATTTCGCATTTTTCCGGAACATTTATGTGGACACTCAGGGTGCTTTTCGGATGTCCTGAATCAATGTTTGTGCACTTTCTGGATGTCCCGCATATATTCCAATTAATGTTCCGGGCATTTCGCATTTTTTTCGGAACATTTATGCGGGCATCCAGGATGTTTTTTGGATGTCCCATGTGTATTCTAATTAATGTTCCGGGCATTTCGCATTTTTCCGGAACATTTATGTGGACACTCAGGGTGCTTTTCGGATGTCCTGAATCAATGTTTGTGCACTTTCTGGATGTCCCGCATATATTCCAATTAATGTTCCGGGCATTTCGCATTTTTTTCGGAACATTTATGCGGGCATCCAGGATGTTTTTTGGATGTCCCATGTGTATTCTAATTAATGTTCCAGGGCATTTCGCATTTTTCCGGAACATTTATGTGGACATTCATGGTGCTTTTCGGATGTCCTGAATCAATGTTCGTGCGCTTTCTGGATGTCCCGCATATATTCCAATTAATGTTCCGGGCATTCGTCGTTTTGTATTCGTGTATATTTATGCGGGACATTTATGTTGTTTTCTGGATG